GGGCAGACTAGTGGGCAGGCTGGCTTCCCAGGAAGGGGGGGGGCTGCATTGGAGGGTGGAGGGGTGGGGGAGATGGTAATTGTACTGGCTAGTTCTGATGCACTTGGGCTGCCAGGCTGGGCCCTCCCCTGTCGCCCCCTCCCCTCCACCTCTTTCCTCCCTCTCCCCCTGCACTCTCCATTCATCTCAGTCCTCTCCCAGTTCCATCAGAATCAATTAGACAGCCCTGCTTTAATCTCATTGCCTGAGCCTGGGCTCAGACCCAGTAGCCCAGCTCCTAGGTCTGCAGTCTCCAGCCTGGGCCCTGCCACGAAAACCCCAGGGGCAGAGGGATGACCAAGATGACCTCAGACCTTTCTCTTACCTCTCCACCCCCTGCCTGCCTAAGGGGGAAGTCCAGACCCAGGCTTGTGGATCAATACCCACCCTTACTCCAGGGCTGTCCCCACCCCTCCCCCACCCACCGTTTATCATGTCAGCTGCTGGGTGGTGATGGAAGTCATTTGGAAAGGGGCCCAGAGGACCCAGGATTCTCAGCCTGCAGAATAGAGGGGGTGGGGGCGGGGAAGGGTGGGGGTTTGAATAATGAGCTGCCAGTGTCTGAAGGCATTTATTGTGCAGAAGAGACAGCCAAGTTCTCCTTCCCAGGCCAGGCAGTCTGAAAGGAAATGGTGTGGAATTTGAGAGGTGTATGGAGGTTAGGTAACAGGAGGAACTTCCTGCCTGTCTGAGGCGGGTGGTTGGAGACCCTGGAGTAATGCTGAAGGGGAGAAAGATCTTGTGGGCTTTCCTCCCTGGGATAACCATAGAAGAAACATTTCTTGTCCTTCCTCTCTGCCTCCCTCTCTTTTTATCCTCATTGCCTCCTCTGTGGTGCTGTGCTATGGAAAAGCCATGAGCCAGGACTGGGAGGGGTGTGTGAGGGGTGTCCATGTGTCCTGGTACTGCTTGCTGCTCTCAAGCTGTGTGACCCCTGGCAAGGCACATTACTGCTCTGGGTCTTGGTGTTCTCATCTGGAAATTGCGTGTGTATTGGGGTGGAGTTCTCTTTCAAGTTTAAGTGGGATCCGTCCTGGATGCGGTGGTCAGAGGAGGTGGCACTGGAGCCCATATGACAGGGGATCCCAGCTCTGCAGGGACCTCTAGTCTGTTGCATGGAGAGAGAACTGGGGCTTGTGTGCCTGTTCGGTGACTTGTATGTGGTGGGCCAGTTTAACCAGGAGTGTCACTGGTGAAGTCAGTCCCTGGAGCCCCCCACTCCGAGGTAAGTCCTGAGTGAGAGCCCCCTGGAGGCCACAGAAGGAACCACAGTGGCTGGCAGGGTGATGAGAAAGCAGGGCCAGCTGAGCAGTCCCCATCTGGTGGAGAAAGGCTTGGGCGGTCCTCAGGGAGCTGCCTCTGCGCATCTCTCTCTGGGTGTGAAAGCGAGACCTCAGCCTCCGATCAGATGCCCAAGTGATTCTCCTCTAACAGGAGCAGCCTTTGTGCCCCCTCAGACAAAAACGCTGGGGGCACTGTGGCCCTGGGGCCAGAGACAGAGGAGGCTCTGTGTCTACCCTGAGCCTGGTGGGCCCCCCTCCCACGGTCTGTCCCCAGGGGGTGGTGGGGCATGAGCTGCCTTCTCCTTTTCCCAACACCTTTGCTGGCAACCTCTGGGAAGTTTCCTGTTTTCCTCCTGCTTCTCTGGGGGAAAGAGATCCTTCCTGGCCCTGACCCAGGGAAAACTTGGGGAGAAAGGCCGAGAGTAGGCCCCTCTACCCTAACGGCTTCTGGATTCTAGAATCTCCTCCCTAGTCTGCATTCAGAATCCAGGTCCTGTTTGCTGGTCTGGACCAGCTGAGGAGAGAGGGAAGAAGAGTGGGGTGTGTTCTTTTTTGGAGGGGTAGAGGAAGAACAGTGCTGGAAGACAGATCTGGGGTCTTTGGAGCCTGGAGAGGCCACTTTACTGGGCAGGAGGATGAGGGGTCCCCAGTGGATCGGTTAGCTCTTTGAGGATGGTGGCCAGGTTTTCACTGGGAGTGAGAGGGGAGGAAGGAGTTGGGGGAGTTGTCAGGCGCCCATGTGGGGGACTTTATTTTTTTATTTTTTATTTTTAAAGATTTATTTATTTATGCATACAAGAACCAGGGTACAGGCCAGAGGTGTGGAGGGGGAGGGAGTGAGAGGATTCACCAGAGACAGAGTGGGGAACAGAACAGGCAGACTGACTGAAATACACTGCTGAGGGGAGCAGCAGGCGAGACAGGAGAGGTCTGCTGCGCCATGTGGGTAGCTCGCTGGCCAGCCTGGGATTGAACTTGTGCTGCAGAGGCTGCTGATAGCATCACAGTGCTGTGCTTAACCCCTTGCGCCACCAGGGAGGCCCATGTGGGGGACTTTAGATAGGCTAGGGTCTGACATGAGGCCCCTTTCTTGGAGCAGGCCCTGCACAAGTTTCTCCAGCTCCCTTGCTCTTTCCATGCCTTAAGCCCTGTGCTGAGCATCAGAATCTGGCCCATTCCACAGAGCCTAGCGTCTCTGTCCTAAGGTGGGGGCCTGGAAGGAGCACTTGGAGGGAGGGTAGGTTGACAAGGCATGGATGAGGTACCAGATGCAGTATCTGGGGAGCTGAGTACTTGGAGACTGAGAGGAAGCTTGGGGTTGTCTCCCTCCTCACTACCACAGAAAGTGCAGGAATTTTGGCAAAAGAAACAGCTAAGGGGGTCTTTACTAAAACATTCCAGGAGGTTCTGGGGGTCCTGCAGTTGCTGTCTTCAGGATTTTGAACTCCTGGGGATGAAAACAGAACAGAGCACTTGTGATTTCCCATGAGGTGCCAATCCCCAGAAGACACATTTCTGCGCCCTGCAGGGTCGTGCACATGGGGCATGGGTCCAGTCCCCGCAGGACATCTCATGTCCTGAGATGATATCCACGGAAGCCCAGACCTCCAGGAGTTGAGACACTTGGCGTGAGGCTCCGTGTGGGGAGGTGGGGTCAGTGACAGGCCTGCCTTCATTGTCCCTGTCAGGACAGACCCTTCCCTTTCTCTCCAGAGGGTCACCAGCTTGAGGACACCTCTTGCTGCACAGTGGATGAAATGATGAGCTCCCCACTCTCCTGAGCCCTTCTCCTCTGCATCTCCCCTTTGGATTGGTGGATTCTAGCCATTGCTTCTTTCTCTTTCCTCCTGCCCTGCCCGCTCTCTCTTCCTCCCTCTGGGTTTGAGGAGTGTCTGCTTCCAAGAAGCCTTAAGAATCCTCTCAAGAAAAAGTTACTTTGTCCTTTCTGGGTGGGTCCACACCTCAACCCATCCTCTCTGAAGAACTTCCTCCTGTTTTAAAAAATTCAACAAGTGATTCCTTTCCATTAAACTTTGGTCCACTGGCTATGGATTAACCCCAATTCCTCATGTCTCTTGTCTTACCCATTTACTCTGGTGTGAGGATGGGGAGGCTGTAGTGATTGTTTGGGGCAGGGAGGCTCTCCCAAAGAGAAAGAAGGCCTCCCTGCAGGCCTGGAGCAGACTTCAGTGATGCCAGGCACTTTGCTGGGGATCACCAGCATGAACAGGGCAGGGCCTGCTGGGAATGGACTCACTTTGCCAGCATCACACCACCTCTCCACCTGCTTCCCATTCCTCCTCCAGCTTCCATCCAAAGCCATGGAGGTGGGGAGGTGGTGATGGCAGTCCCTTTGCACCTGTGTCTCTGTATTCTCACCCTCCCTGGAGGAAGGGGACAGGGAGACAGCCTGACTAGGAAAAATATCCTGAGATGGTACCCACAGAAGCCCAGGCCTGGGAAAGCGCGCAGTGGGGGTCGTGGGGGAGGGGCTCCTGGATGGAGCTCCTGGGGCCTGTTGCTGCAGAGGAGGCCCTGGCCGGGTCCTGCGGGATCACAGAGCTCCCCTCCCCTTTTCTTTCTGGGCTTGTCTGGCTGGCTGCCCTCCCAGTTTCTCTGCAGCAACAGAACCAGGGGCAAAGCTCATGGCTGCCTCTCCATGTCTGCATGGTCTGGCTTGTGGTCTCACTGCCTTTGTCTCTGCATCTCTATTTCTCTCTCCCTCTCTAGAGTCCAGCACCCCCCAGCCTCCCAGCTCCAGGGTCACAGTCTGGTGTCCCTATACAATATTAGGGAGCAAACCCCGGCCTCTTCACATCATCTGAGCACTGCTCAGTCAGAAAAGGGTCCCTAGCCTCCAGTGGCCCAAGATGGGAGGTGGCACATGGGGAGCCCTGAGCGGGAGCTTCAGCCCTACCCCAAGTCTGCCTCTCCCACTCTTGGCAATCTGAGCTGGTCTCGAGTCTGAGGCAGGGTCCCTTCCAACCTGCGAGGGTGGCTGCTCCCTCACAGCCCCCCACCCGCCCGGAATTAGCTGTAGAAAGGTCTAAGCTGGGGAGTCGGGGGGTGTGGCCAGGGTCAGAGGTTGGCGTTGAGTTGGGACAGAAGGCTCGGCTGTGTGGTGTCCCCAGGGCCTGCCCCCACAAACGGATGTTTCTGCATCAGGCCTGGAAGCCGGTGGCCGCTGTTTAAGTTAATCACTTGGTGCTCTGGGGAGCAATCTGGGACTCGGAGCGAGGGCTGGAGGGGATCCACACGCGCGCACACGCGCCCGCACACTCACTGCAGCCGGAGCACAATGCGGCCGCGCCCCTGCGGCCTCGCAGGTGGACGCCCGCGCCTGGCACCGACTCCGCCCGGTCCGGACCCGCCTCTCCAGCGCGGCCTGCCGAGCCCCCCGAAGTTGCCGGGGTGCCGCGCTCGCCCCCCAGCCCGCCCGGGACGCCGGCCGGCGGCTGTCACGCCGAGGGGAGGAGGGAAGGCGCCCCAGGACGTCCCCGAGGGGGGGCGCGCCCGGCCGCCGCCCGCAGGGACTTCCGGGGAGATGGAGCCACGTCGGGGCCGCGCCGCGGGGACCCCGCCGCGCTCCTCCCGCTAGAGGGTGGGGCTCTCGGGCTGCTCCTGCGGGCGGAGGACCCCGGGCACCCCGGGGCGGGACTCGCGCCCTCCTGCCTAACTCCTCCAACTCGGCGCCCAGAGCGGCCGGTTCTTCTCCCGCCTCGCCGGGGGCGCCCACCCGCGGGTCGACATGACGCGGCTGAGCTGGTGCTTCTCCTGCGTGATCCGGTGGGGCAAGTACCTCTTCTCCTGCCTCTTGCCCCTGCGCTTCTGCCTCCGCAGCCAGGTAAATAGCCATGTGCTCACCTGGCACCTGCCCCACCCCTCCCCGACTGGCGTCCCCTGGCCTCAGCCTTCGGGGTGTGCGTAATAGGACCCTCTCGCCCCCTCCCCGGGGGCCACGCTGCAAGCCACGGTCTGCCTGGCTGCCCTTAGGGTTTGTGGTCTCTGGGAAGCCCCATTCCTGTGGCACCGATCCACGAAGGGGGAGTGGCTGGCCCTCCCCCAGCACACACCTCGGCGCCGTGGATTTCGGTCACAGGTCATGGATAACCCAGGAGGCCGTGGAGATTTGGGCGCCGAGCAACGTTTCTGGGGTGTTCTGCATCCCTCCCAAGTTTCTGTGCGAAAGGTCTCCCCCTCCCTTCCATGGGCTCAGAGGACCCTGAGTTAAGACTGCCGAGTGGAATGGAGACAGGGCATGGAACAGCTGGTGGACTTCAGGAGGCATTTTCTCCACTCAGAAGGAGGGAGGGACCAGGGAAGTGGACAGGGAGAGGAGGGCCGGGACACTGGGATGGGGGCCCGGAGCTGGCTTATTGGAGGCGTGAGGGGTCTGGTGGGATATGTAGTGTGTGTGTGTGGGGGTGGGGGAGGCCAAGAGGAGGTTGTGATCTGGTTGAATATCTTTCTCCCTGGGATTTTTCCAGAGAGGCTCTTTGGTTGTGCCTTCAGGGAAGGGAGGAAGACAGAAGGGGGTGCTTTAGCTGGGCAGTAGATTAGGAAACTGCAAAAACTGCATGGAATCCCCGCCATAGAGGGGCAGAAAGAACCCGAAGAGCATCATCACCTGCGGAAGTCTCCAGTGAAAGGGATCGTTCCAGGAACTGGGGGTCCTGCAGTGCGGGGCTGGCCTTCTGATCCATTCCCCATTTCTTTGGAGAACCCCAAGAGGGACCCCTGCCACATGGGACGAGGGGGGCTCAGTACACCATAGTGGTTGAGAGTGCCAGCCATAGAACTAGTCTGCCTGGCTTTGAATTCTGGCTCTACTGTTACTAGCTGTGGATCTTGAGCACGTTACTTAATCTGCCTGTACCTCAGTTTTCCCATGTATAAAATGGGGATAATAAAATAGCTGTATCATTGGGTTATGGCGAGGATTGAATGAGATAATGCATTTAAAGTGTTTACCCAAGTGCCTACTCCATAGAAGGTGTCCAGTAAAAATAAGGGTTATTATCTGTAGTAGTATTATGCCTTTCCAGCGGGGACCTCTTCCTTGTTGACCTTCAGGCAGGCAAGACCCAGGGTGAGGGGATGGAGGGACTTTTCCCAGTATCCGAGTGGATGGGAAGAATCCGTCCACTCCATAAGGAGCTTGAATATTCAGTTCCTCATACGAGGTGCTGCCTCTCAGCCTCAGTTTCCCTCTCTGACACTCCGCAGTGGGGAAAGGTGCCAGCAGGCTCCCGCCCCAGGCACCCAAGGTGTGCTTTGAAATCATCTAGCGAAGTTCATTGTCTCTGGGGATTGGTTGGGACGTAGGCACTGCAGCTGTGGACCTCAGGCCGAGCCCCATCCGCATCCCAGTGGGTTCTGAGTTTGGATGCTGCAGAAACTGGGTTCTTGGATTTGGGAAAAGGCACCCTGCAGTGGGGAATGGCCAACCAGGACCAGGTCAGTCAGACCCCAGGCCGCTTGGCAATCAATCCCCCTCCTCACTTGCAGAGTAGAGGATCATCTAACATCCTGGGCCAGGACTTGAGCTGGGGTGGGGGTGAGGGCTGGATGAGCAGCTGTAGCTGCCTCCCTCCAGCCCCTGAGTCAGGCAGGAAATTAGAGCTGGGGAAGAGATCAAGATCACGACTTGAGCTCTGGGAAGGATTTTATTAAAAATTGTTGGAAGTGGGCCCAGAAATGTCCCCACCCAGGGTGCTGGTGGAGGGGAGGTAAGGGAAGTGAATGTGAATGATTCTCTTTCCTGGGTCAACTGGAGAAACTGAGGCTCAAACTGGATCTGATTGGAATCTCATCTTCCTACTCTAGATTTCTGGAGTACAAGGGGGAGTCCTCAATCTCATACTAGAGGGATGGTGGACTTGGCAGTAGGAGAGTTAAGGGGCAGGACCATAGGGTTCATGGGTGGGCTTTGCGGTGAGAGCCTCATGCTCCAGGCTGATGGGTCTCATGCCAGGGCTTGTGAGTGGCGCATGGATGGGACTTTGGCCTCCACTCTCCCTTGGCTGCAGCCTGTGCAGTGAGCATCCTGCACAATGATGCATGGGGTTTCTGTTTGGACTCTGAGCTTTTCAGAATGAAAGGCTGAGTGTGTATGGGGTGGGGGCAGAATGAGGTAGCATGGCTTAACTGAAAAGAGGACCTGTGGGCAACAGTGGCCAGACCTTGTCCTCACCTAGATCCCAGATCCTGGGCTTGCTAAGACTGAGGTTTTCTCTTGGCTCTTTTAGAGCAACGAGGGAGCCAGTCGGTCTTATCCTGCCCCATGTGGCAACACTGTCCTTGGCTTCTCTGCATATGCCTACCCCCTTATCCTCTACTGCACCCAAACCAGGGCTGGGGCAGCTGACCCTCTTCCTGGAAGTGTGGTGCAGTCCTTGGATAAGGCATGGGGAGACAGCTAATACATCACTGCAATGTGGGACTACCACCTCTTGTCCCTGGGTGACTGTATTGCTATAGGGGCAACAGGAAAATTCTCAATCCCTGAGAGCTGTGAAACCAAATACCATAGACAGCGTTCTCACACAGACTTGCTGTGTGACTCTGAGCAAGTTGCTTAACTTCTCTGTTCCTGAATTTATAAATTGAGAGCTTGCAGGAGGCTTAAATGCGATTCCACATTTAAGTACCTGGCTAGTTAATATTGATCTTTCCTGGGGCGGGGGATGGAATGACAGAGTTTGAGGGAGCCAGAAGGTAAAGATACTGTTGCTTTGGTGTCAGATTCCAGTGTCTATGTCTTACGTTTTGGGGATCTGCAGTGGGGTGATGGGGAGGACTCAATGCTAGCTCTGTACCCACCTATGTGATGTGAAATCCCCGGGACCCGCTGGGAGGAAGACCATGGTGTATGCAGCCCTGGTGGGTAAGGCGATGGACTGCAGGGTTGGGAGCAAGAAGCTGTGAGGATGATTATGGTCTTACAGTGACTGGACGGCAGGGTGCGTAGGAAAAAGTCTGGAACCTGGGAGCTCCTCCGGACTGCTCTGTGAGCTCAGGTAGGTCACACCTTGCCCCCTCTGCTGCTGTATTGTCATCTGTTAGACAAGGGGGCTAGATTAGGTGAGAGGTGCCCAGCAGGCCAGATCTTCTCGGTAGACACATTTACTCTGGCAGCTAGAATGACTAAAAAAAGGTCAACATTTCAAAATTTGCCTTGTTTTTAATATTTTATATAAAAGATTCTATATAGTAATATAAGTTTGGGGCTTCTCTCGACAGATCAAAGGATGTGATAGTGTGGGCTTTTGCCGCTGGTGAAAGTGTCTGGGGCCGAGGATGGGATATTCCCTTATTTTGGCTGCCCTCACCAGGTCTGCCCAGCCCCTTGCCTCCTCCTCTAACTGAACTGCTGTCAGGCCCAAAGGCTGTAACAGACCCCCAGACAGGCTGAGCTGCAAGGTCTTTGGATTCTGTGGCCAACATGACCCAGGGAAGGCTCTGAGCCCTGAGTAGAGAAGGCTAGGCAAGGGGAAGAACGTTCTGATGGCCGCATGTCAAAGGGCAGGAGGAGTGGGTTTGAGGGAGCTGGGGCCTTCCTGGAAAGTTTGTGGCAGACAGAAGGGGGAGCAGGAAGATACCTTGGAGAACATTTCGTAGGTGGGGAAACTGAGGCCCAGAGAGGGCAATGTTAACTCAGGCTTGCAAGGTCCATTTACTTCATTCCTGCCCTCACTTTTTCCCGCTGCTCAGCTCATCCTGCCTTGGGGCCCCGCAAACCCCACTGTTTTTTCAGTTGGCTGCTGCACCAGCGGGTGGTGAGCTGAAAGGGCCCTGCACGCAGAGGGGAGAGCACAGTTAATCACCAACCTGCTCCAGGAAGAGTGTGGGGGTGGGGGCCAGGCAGGGGCCTGGGCCTGGGGTGGCTGAGCACAGTGCCAATTAGGTTCTGAGTCTGCTGGGATCCCAGGGCAGAAACTCAGCCAACCCGCTGACGTGTCTGCTGTGTATGAGACTCTGGTCCAGGCCCTGGGCACAGATCCCAGGATGACCAAAACCAATCTGGCCTCAGGAGTCTGCAGCTTGAGAGAGGTCAGGGGTCAGAGTAACAGGAAGAGAGATGGGTTGCTAAGGGCAGGTGGGCATTATGGGCACATGCAAAGGTGTGCAAGAAAGATGTGCCCGCTGACCCTCTCATGGGGGCCAGAGCAGGAGAGAGGAAGTTTTGGGAAGTCGATAGTAGATGCTAAGAGAATAGGTTAGGATCCATTGATTGGCAGACTGGTTCATTCATTCTGCGTGTGTGACACCTGCTGCTTGCTAATCTCTGGGGATCCAAAAACCCAGGACAGGGCATCATCCAAGGAACTCTGCCTGCTTGTATGGGCAGTGGAGGGGACATCGGGCTGTGGAGGATGACGAGCGGGTAATAAGCCTGCAGTGGAGTCACTGCAAAGGTTAGCCAGCTCGGGTAGCAGAACTTAACATTCAACAGGGAAGATAGTGGCTGGTAGCAGGAAGCACTTCCCAAAAATGAGACGTTAAGCTATAGGCGAGACCTCCCACGGGCTTGGAAAGAGGCACCGGGCACTCTGGAGGGAGACCCCGGTGCAAGGGCCTTCTGCACCCATTTTTTAGACCCAGCTGAGGACACTGGGGAGGGAGATGACTTAGGGGCCATAGGGCCCCCTTGAGCTGTGTGGGAGCCCCGACAAGTGTCGCTGTGACTTGGTCTTCGGTCTTGTGTCCTGGCATTTCTGGGAAGCTACAAGGTGATTTCTCAGAACTCCCAAGATAGCTGCTGGGAGGCACATCTTCCAGTGACGTTGGCAGCAAGGGGCTGCTGGCGCAGCAGCGGGAGAGGGGGAGAGTGGGCACTGGTGT